ACTGAGTTTATTCAGATGCTGGCTGTCACAGTTGATGCCAAATTCCATCTTTTTCCCCTTATTTTCAAGTAATTCCTTTTCTTACTTTTACTTTCCTTTCCTTTTCTGTCGCGCAAGGTCAGGTAAGTATGGCTATTCGTTGATTTTTCTTGTGTTTTCACTTTCAGTGTTTGTGTATAATGGCGTACGTAGAGAACAATACCTACGTGCGCATACAATTGTATATAGCCTGTACGCTGAAAGATTCAGCGAACCATGTATATGAATATTTATAAGTTGATGAATAAAGCCGTAGAAACTTTTGGTTTTTTGCGTGTGTGTCTTAGTAAGTATTTGTAATGTAAATAAGTGCCGTAGTCATGTGAGGAAAGAGAAAGAGGAATCCCCGCAAAAGAAAATAACCCGAGAGGTTGGTCCGCAATTGCGATGCAATTTTGAGCGACATTTTCGCTGATTTGAGACCGGGATCGGTCGTGAGGGGCCAGAAGTCCAAGGGACCAAGACCCTATCTGACTTGTAAGTATGGTTGATTTCATTATTTTGGTGTATTTGGATTTTTATGACGAATTTTGCATTTATTTTGAAATGTATTGTCGGAAACCTGGCTTGAACAAAAGAATAGTCTGGTGACTAAGTTGCTTTGTGCTCATCACAATAAGATATTCGTTTTGCTAGAGATTAGCAGTGTAATTGTAATGTGTTTGCTCCTTAATTCTTAAAATGACGATAAGGAGAAGATGTGATTTATTCTGAGGCACTTTGTGATGCTAGATTCATTTTATGAGGATTTGCTCCACGAATGAGAGTGATAGCTTTCAATAAGTGTTTGTCTTTTGATACACATGTTTATGATAATTGGAGATACATTGTTATTATTTGCATTGTGTAACATTTATTTATTTGTAGACGGCACTTTAGCCGGAGCTAATGTGAGGCCAGCAACTACCGGTAGTATAGCTTATGAGACAAGACAGGTCCATAAAGCCCACATAGTCTGGTGCCGAGTGCACCACACAGCAGTCCAGGCTGTCTGATGGACACTCATCAGCCGTGAAGTACGCCGGACGTGGCCTCTGCTCATCTGTAACCGTCTACCAAGCTTGTGACGAGTAAGCGAGAGAGCCGACGCAAGGGGATCGCCGGACTCTAGACGAACGCCATAGAAGGCACAGACTAGTCTGGTGCAACAAAACCGCGGTGGGCCCATTTTAGTTAAAGTGCACATAATTATTCCGGAATATTTTATTGTTTATTTATTTATTGTTTAGTTAGTTAATGATATATGCACTTGAATTAAGCTAGCAATAGACTCTTAAGTTGTAGGTTTAATTCATTCATTACTGGTCGATTGAGTGATTTCCTAAGCACAATTTGTGGCTAAATCTGACGTTTATTTTATATACGCATTTATTTTGCATTTCCGTTTAATTCTTGATCATTCCTTTACCGAGTACATTTCATTGATTGGTTAATTTGTTTGAACCTTTGGCCTATAAGCTTTTAACAGAGGCCTGCAAGTAAATTCGCCAGGTTGACTAGATTTACAATATATAATTGTAAATATAATTGAATTAATTATTATTTTCTATTAATAAATTTTGTTCATATTTTTCTTGAAATTTATATCATTATTGTGATTGAATTCTTTCTGTCTTTTACAAGTGGTTTGGGGTCTCCAAACGGGACTCACTTAAATTGCTTTAGCCAGACGGGAGTGACACTGGCGGCCATCTTTTCTTGCTCACATGAATGAGTGTTGAAATTCTTGAGGGCAATATTCACATTAGTGTGGTGTGCATGTAACAAGCGCCTTACGGTAAAAGACACTGAATTTCATAGGACTCCAAAATTCATGCGACATTTGAAAAGAGTAAGTCAGTACACTTTGGATTAGGGCCCGATAGAACAAGACCAAAATTGTCTTCTCTACATGAAGATTATTCAGGGTTCTCAAAAAGTACAATCTTTGATTCCTTTTTTTGCGAAGAGCTTCTGTGTTTTTTGCCCAATCAAGTGTGTTAGTAACTGTGCTTCCCAGATATTTGTATTCTCTCAGCTGTTCAACCTCTTTGTCATGCAGAACGAGCGGTTCAGGTCGTTCTGCTTTCCTTCGAAAGTCGAATATCAGTTCTTTTGTTTTGGATACATTCAACTGAAGGTGATGAGCATCACACCACTCAGTGAATCTCCTCACAGCTGTGATGTAGTCATTTGTTTTCTCCGTTGTTAGGAAACCAGCAACTACCGTATTGTCTGCATATTTGATGATAGTGCATGTTTCATTTTCACCAACGCATTCACTTGTGTACAGGGAAAACAATGCGGGGGATAGAACGCACCCCTGTGGTGCACCTGTGCTAAGTACTTTGGTGCCAGACTTAATGGCTCCCATTCTTACTACCTGAGGTCTATCTAGCAGAAAGTTATGAATCCATAACACAATTTGGGGGTGAGCTTGCATTTCTATGAATTTGTTTGCAAGCAGGTGTGGTATTATGGTGTTGAATGCACTTGAAAAGTCTACAAACAGTGCCCTGACAAGGTTCTTACTTACATCCAAATGTTTATAAGTTCCGTGGAGAAAAGTTAACACTTCATCATCTACACCTCTGTTATTGCGGTAGGCAAATTGCAGTGGGTCAAGATGGTTCCCGACCTGACTCATGACCTGTTTCAGCACTAATTTTTCTAGGCACTTCATAACATTGCACGTTAAGGATATTGGCCTAAAGTCTTTGTACTCAACACATTTGCAACTTTTTGGTACAGGAATTACTGTTGAAGTTTTCCACGAAGTTGGTACAATGCCTTGATCAAGCGAATTCTGAAATAATTGTGTGTAAGCACATGCAAGCTGTTGTCTGCAAACTCTCAATACTCTGTTACATAATCTGTCCGGACCTGCAGCTTTATTCAGTGCAAGACTAGCAAATACTCTTCGTACATCATGCTCTGTTACACAAGGTTTAGTCTCATTGTTCTCTCATGCTTTAGTCTGTAGTGTAATCTTCATTCTCATGTCTGAAATCTTTATCATCAAATTGGCAGTAAAAATCATTTAATCACTCAACAAAGTCTTTCGTTGTCCCAATTGTTATGGTTTTCATTGGTCTTTTATATACTGTTAAGTCTTGCATTGTTTTCCAAGCTGACCTACTGTCATTAGCTCGAAAACCCTTTTCAATTCTGTTTTTCTGAACCTTCTTACATTGTACAATTTGTTTCTTTATCTTCTTTTGCAGATCCCTCCTTAATACATCGTTTCTTTGAGACACAGCATTTCTTTTTTTGCTTAATTAAATTCCTTAATTCAGTTGTAACCCATGTTTTGTTGTTAGGGAATACCTTGTTGAAGTCAAATAAATAATTACAATAATAACATGTGTGCATATATTTTGAGATGCATGCTATCGATGTTGAGTTTCGAGTTACACACAATGATCAATGCAATAGAAATATTTTGCCAACATACCTTGCAAACGCATGCTGATTTATCTTTTCTGGACATTGTGATAAACTCAACCAATAGATTACCAATTCTTCCAACCATACTCTTATTAAATTCCATGATTAAAATCTCGCACCGATGGGTCTCATCCCGGCAATAAGCGACCAATTGTGCTCTCGATCGTCACTGAAAAGTAGTCACAGTACACACAACCACACATCCACAAGGTGCACATGCACAAATGACACACCATTGAAAAATATTTTTTTCTGGTCCTCAAGTACTCCACTGCGCACATCGCATTGATGTCTATCAGATGCTTGACCGCATTGTTTATTAGACTTGTCACCAGTCCATCCACTATCGTAACATTTTGCCACAAGTTTTGGGCAAAAACGATACTTTACAAGTATTTTTTTTTTCGTTAGGTAGAAAATGGGAAATTCTTAATTTTTTAGTGGCAATTCCTATTTTCGTAATTTAACAAACAATTTGTAATAATTACAAAAAATTTGTAATAGTTGGCAGCTACGGAACATGGTTCAACCACTGTCGTGTTGACTTGCTCTACGCTTCTCCGTGGTTCGTCAGGTTGGCCTCTTGCGGCAATATCAATTGAAAAATCGTCATCAACTTCCCCATGGTTTTTCACAAAGAATTTTGTGAATGTCATTCTGAGATTTCATTGGAAGAAATCTCCTTTTTGTTTTTGGAAAATGTTCGCATTCTCCGATGTCTAAAGCAAATGGCAGTCTTGCGTGCACGCACGTGCACGAGAGCCGAATGAAAGCCACAAAAGACGTGCGGCCGTCCGATCCAATGTGGTCTGCAGTGCACTTGGCCATTGGTGGAATAACAAATAACAAATGTTCCTATTGGCTAACGCGATGTCAACAAAGACTTGCTTTCAGCAACCTAAAAGCATTTAATTAAAAAAACAAATTGTTAGGACACTTTGCTTCCATGATATCTCAATTTCAAACAAAAGTTTCATCAAAAATCGGTTTCTATGGCGTCCCTAGTCTGTGCGGCTGTGTAACTCGCGGTCAGCCAACAGAATTGCTTGTTGGACACAGACATTGCCGTGGGAATTTCCCCTGGCACGCAATACCGCGCTGCTTGCATACACGTGTGGGCTACGTACGGAGGAACATGAGATGTATGGACCAGACTTTCTGGACAGCGTTGCAATGACGATTAGTGACGAAGGACCCAAACGGTCTTTGTACAACGTACGTATTTATTTAAGTACTGGTACACGCAAACTGATGTTAGACCACGATGTTTTCTTTTGGATAATGCCAGAAAGTAAATATCACTTGCTGATAATTGCCTGTAAATTGTTCGGCGGTCGGCGATTTTGACCAATTTTTGATCGGAAGTCGGGGTATCGTAATATTTTTTTCCCAATCCCAATAACCAATCAAATTGTGTGGGGTCACATTTTATCGCTTTCAAAAATAGGGTTGGTATTTTTTTGTTTGGCCTAACGTGTACATACGTCAAATCATTATCAAACACATTTCTATGCAAATCAAATTCAAGACATTACCTTGTAGATGGGTGCATTATCAAGACGTAATGTCTCCAGTTTTGGTACTCTAGGAGCAATGAATGGTCCAAACTGAGTTCGTTGTTGGATGAGCTTACGAGCAAACACACCAACAACTGTAACAAAGAATGACAAATATGTCAAGCAAGTGGCAAGTATGTCAAATCTATTTGTATATGGTGTAATACCTAACCCCCAGAAATATGACTGGATGATGCTCACTGATAGCCCCACCATTTTACCCTGAGCCCACAGGGCATCCAGATCGTAAGCTACATGTACAGGCACAAATAATTATACATAGTTGTCTTATATACAAGCCTAGATAGATTACCTCTGAACATGATTTAAATCAAGTAATCAAAAACTTGTGAATACTTGTCATTTTTCAAAGAGAAGGCTGAGAACTTCCAACTAAATTGTGAATGCAACTGATCTGCAGGAAAACCAAACTAAGGCACTCCCTTCGCTGACACCTTATTAGCTAGGCCCGTAAGTAAACATTCTTTTATTAGTAAATTGTTCCTTTTTATAATAATGTTGTGCTGTAAATAATATATAGCGCCTTATACCAAAGGTGTCAAAGCGCTTACAATATTTATTACCCCTGTTCATCAGACCATGATACTACTTTTGCAGCAGCTCAATATCAGGGCATATGGCCCGTACCTTCGCAGGTACCCACCTACAGCTACATGTAGATGGAGCAATGCGTGACAAAGTGCCTTGCCCAACGACACACGCACCATTACCCCAGGCTGGACTTGAACCCACAACCTGCAGCTTAACCTGCAGACCACAAATCCAATGCCCTTAACCATGAGGCCAGAGCACTTCACAAGTCAATTTATAACATTTTGGTAATGGTTTTGATTTATCGAATGGCTGTCATTTTTTTTGCAAATATGCTAGTTTCTGAATACCCTTGCCAAGCTGCCAGTACATAATTTTATTACAAGTGTGCTACCGGAAGTTTCCTCTCCTGGGGTGGAATGGGGGGAGGGGGAAAGTAATTTTGATGAAACATGCATTGTAAATGTCATCTCCAAATTACATGTATGACAGGAGCCATATTCATGAAACTTTACTAACTTAGCAGCCAACTTAGGCCTTAGGATACTAAAATGTCTAGTAGTCCACTATGGAGTTGACAACTAAATTGTAATTCATGAAACCTTACTAAGAACCTTGCTAACTACATGTAGTTACATACTAGGAAAATTGAGTTGCATACCTGAGTAACTGGAATTGGGTGCTTTGGATGAAGTGGGCATGTATGGAATGTGATGACAACAGATACAATAGTGTGACAGGTGTATTAGGCAAATCCATGTAAACACTAACAAACAAAAAGAAGGATGCATGGTCAGCTATTCTCAGCCAACACCGTGCAAGGTTTCCAAGGTTGAAAGATCATTGGATGATTTAAAAATTAGATTATCCAAATTAAAATCCGAGTCAAGAGAATGCCTGTCAAGTATGAGAAAGTTCAAGAAGGCAACCGGAGGGGAAAGCCACCTAAAGAGCCAAGTCTGGCACAACAAAAAATGATACATGTAGTTGCTAACCAGTGACTTAGAGTTGCCCTGGATCAACACTAACTTTACATATATGTATGTAACTAGTGTTAGCAATGTTTCATGAATACCAATTAGTTACCAACTAGGTGTAGTAAACAACTATATGCCTTTTTAGTAACCACCTAGGCTTAGCAAGGTGTCATGAATATGGCCCCCGAGGATAGAATGGACAGAGAGTTTGACAATTTGAGGACAGCATACAAAGTTTTGTCAAAGGCAAACCAAAATGTTCATAAAACTTTGTAAAAAATATGCAAGAGGCCAGCTCTCATAAAGTTATTCAATTCTTTCCCCAAAAGGAATGTTTCAGCCATGGTATTTACCAGGTTCATCAGCAACCTGTTCAGCCCTTTTCCTTGTGGTTTAGGTGCATACTTGTTCAACATTTTTGCTTTGTAAAGTGTTTGGGCTGGGTATGTTTTTAAAATGACACATTTATGTTCACGGTGTACAGGAAGTTATTAATTGAGTAATTGGACCTAAAATACAACCAAATACCGACACATAGAATAATGGAATAAATGGCTTGTACAGTAAACATGTATTTGTCTAGGCATTCAACCGATATTGCTCACGATATGATATTACAAAGACTTGAACTCTATTCTGCAGCTCACACAAAATATTCTGTCACTCACTTACCTTGTTCGTTTGCAGTGTGCAGTTCTAGATCCTTGAGCATGAGATAGTGTGGTAAAGTAAGTCGAGCTCTTGTAGGAATACTCTTATCCCGAACCTTTAATAAGGGTCCATGTATTGGGCAATCCCCAAGATGGCTTTGACCACAATCTTCACACCCTGCAAGGCATCACAAAATACAAATAGTAAATATCCTTTTTGTGAAATTATACAGTATTCAATAAGTGGATTAACCAAACTGTATCCCATACAAAGGAACACATAGTCTAGATATTGGTACATGAAGTAGCTAGTAAGTATATCACAAGGCAACTGTGCACAAATAGCCTCGTTCAGGGCTTTGTGTTCTAACACAGTACATGTACAATGGATCTGATCAGAGCATGCAAATGATTTGGTTTGGTCTAGCTTTAAAATGTCTCTAGCTGCCCAGCCTCCTTAGACATGTTTGTGTACAGTTTGAAATTAAAAGGAAACCAACCGACACCATCAGAAGTTTGCATTTTGTTCATCAATATGTATTTAAAAATCTCAGGTGCAAGGGAGTTTTTGTGTTAATCTTGATTTATCAAGATGCACTCAGTGTGAGATGGTGCACTTGCAACAAACTTTGCAGGATTACTGCAATTTAGATCATCACGCAGTTTATTCTTGATAACTCATGAACTTTCTCAACCAAAAGCAATCCATTCCTTGCGACTGGTGGTGGCTCGAAACTTCTTGAAAAACCTGTTCACTTGACCATAGAGCCTGAAAATGCACCCCTAGTTATGTTAGTGGCGCGCTTCTGGACCCCTTGAGTAGGAAATTTAACGTGCAAAAATTCTAAAATCTGCACTTATTTTTCGTAAATGGATTTCTTAAGAAAATCACTTTCGAAAAAGGTGCCACGAAAAGGTGGACACGGTTTTAAAATGGAAAATGTACACAATCTGCAGAATTTTAAGCATCACAACCGCAAATTTTGAATCAAAATTTAAAGGGGACAAAAGGTTCATATTCTATGCCAAAAGAGCTTTTGAAGGGGTTTTATTATTAGTATCTCAATACGTTTTCACTTCTACCAAAGATACATGTAGGTGGACAAACTGTTATGATAACTACTGTAAATGAATTATCGAAATATATCCTTCGAGCGAGAGATTTCGTGATTAGTTTTTAATAAATGTTATGGTAGCAGAAGACAAACACCCTAATAATGTAAGGGGACTAAAAAGATTTTTTCGAATAGTGTACGGAATGTAGAAACTTCTGAATGCAAGGTATACAAATTGTTGCCATGTCCTTCTTTTGTAATGTGAGTAACCATTTAAATAACTTTAATATTGCTACACGTACATGTATATACCAACAGAACATTATTTTGTTGGCCTCATTTTTGTAGTTTAGTCACCTACATGTAAACTCAAAGAATCTTTCGTGAGAAAAATCCAGACTAAATGCTTTGACACTATAGAATAACAGCACATAATTAAGCGACGGAAGACACAACCCCCCTTTAAACATACCATAACATGAGTTACCATGGAATTACCCTACTTCTTGCATCAATGAAGGCAAAACCCAATGTACTTTAGAAGCCAACCGACACTGCGTTGTTAGCAACAGGGAAGGATCCACAAACAACTTACTCTGGTCCATCGACAACTATTTTAACCTCGATACCAATGATCAATGCTCACCCTAAGATCAATAAGAATGTTAGCTCTCATTATTATACTAAGGATAATTTAGAAAACTTAACACATGATTTGAATTAAGCCGACTGGTCCCCTGTATTTAATACCCTAGATCCTAATATTGCTTTTTACAATTTTACAAAAATATTTAATGAACATCACAACAAAAATGTCCCACTTAGAAATAAAAAGAAAAACAAAGCCAATCCTAAATCTCCCTGGGTAACAATATCCCTCCTGAAATCAATACAACTTAAAAATAGACTTTATCATAAATTCCTTTCTAAACGTAATGAAATAAATCATGCGAACTATATTAAATACAAAAATATTCTAACCAGTGTTTTACGAACAGCTAAGAAGAAGTATTATTGCTCTCAATTTGAAAAAGAAAAAACAAATATTAAGAATACTTGGAAAATTATAAACCGGGTTATTAATAAAAAATTCTCCTTCTACGAAAATTCCTGACATCACTGTTAATGGAAATTTAACTGATGACCCCCAAATTATGGCCGAGAGTTTTAATAATTTTTTTGCAAACATAGGCCCCAATCTGGCTAAAAATATTCCTCAATGCAAAACAAAATTCTCTGATTATCTCGCTCATCCTAACTCACATTCTTTATTTTTTCAACCAGCCACTAAAAAAGAAATTGCTGATATTATCAAGAATTTGCCAAATAAAGCTAGCAGTGGTTTTGATTCAATCACTTCCTTTGTTCTAAAAAATACTGTTTCCGTAATTGTAGAACCTCTTACATACATTATTAACATTTCTTTATCAACTGGTATTGTGCCAGACAACCTGAAGATAGCAAAAGTTATTCCTATTTTAATACAAAGCTTCAGATATTGATCAAGTAAGCAACTGCAGGCCAATTTCAATATTACCGTGTTTTTTCAAATTTTGATAGAGTTGTTTATGAACGTACTCTTGATTTCTTACGTAAATATGATATCATATCAAACTTCCAGTTTGGGTTTCGTGCAAAACATTCAACCATTGTCAACTACTCATGCCGTTCTTCATCTCATTAATAAGGTTGTGACAGGTTTAGACAATTTAGAACACACCCTTGGTATTTTTCTTGATTTTTCAAAAGCTTTTGACACCTTAGATCATAATGTATTGTTATACAAGCTTAACCCTAACCGCCCTGAATCCTCCAAAATCCTTTTTGCAAATTGGAGGAATTTGCAGGATTGAGGTTACATGGCAAAAGTGCGTTGCTGATTTCGGAGTACGCACTGTGTCAAGGTCTTGGGCCGGACCTTGTGTTGTTTATGCTCAGCCGTGCATAAATTTAGTCCTTGATTATACTTGAAATCCTCCGCACTGCTCCAGGATGTCACTGCCTCTGCCTCAGCCTATTGACAGTCATAGCCGGAGGATTTTGCAGGATTCAGGCAGTAGTCACCCCTCCATGGACCATATTCAAGAAATAGCGGAGGAATTTGCAGGATTGAGGTTATATGCTATTTTTCCATGAGGCCAATTGGAGGATTTTGCAGGATTGAGGCTACATCCTAGCAAAAATGCCTAGGGAGTTAGGGTTAATTACTACGGCATCAGAGGAGTCCCTCTTGCTTGGTTTCAAAGTTATCTCTTTAACAGAAAGCAATATGTATTAGTTAGTGACACTCCTTCTAAATATACGTTCCTTGATATGTGGGGTTCCTCAAGGATCTATTCTTGGACCACTACTATTTCTTGTTTATATAAATGACTGAGTTAATGTCTCAAAACGTTTGTCGTGTATCTTATTCGCCGATGATTCAAATTTATTCTATAGTAACAAAAATATTAATGATTTGATTGACGTTGTTAATACTGACCTTGTTCTGATATCAGACTGGATAAAAGCAAACAAACTTTCCTTAAATGCCAAAAAGACTTAAGTGTATGTTGTTTAGTAATTCTTTACGTTCATTACCAAGGGATATTTTCATCGATAACAACAAGATTACTGTAACAGATTGCACTAAATTTCTTGGTTTATATATTGATAATATATTAACTTGGAACAACCACATCGATTATATATGTAAAACTATTTCTAGAAACATTGGTATTATCAACAGGCTCAAGTTTTATATATCTAAGTATATCTACTATTTTTTTTACTACATAACACACTCAAGGTAAATGACATATACCATTTCCAACTCGCTATCTTCATGTTTCAATTAACAAAAAATGATCTACCGAACTGCATTTGGCCCATGTTTAACAGAAATAGGGACCTTCATAGATATTTAACTCGACAGGCCACCAAATTTCATTTACCATTTGTACGGACAGCTCTAGCCAAAAACAGTGTTAAATTTGAAGGGCCCAAATTGTGGAACTCCCTAGACAATACAATAAAAAAATCGTTATCTATTTCTACTTTCAAAACCAACTTTAAACAGATTCTTCTCAACAAGTACTCGAATTCATGAACTCAGAATTTCGTTGCTTATCAAATTGTCTTTTCTTGTCAATTCTGTTCTGCAACATTCCTTCTAAACCCTTCGTACTACCTGTTTATCTTCATAGATCATGGTTTTGTGTTATTTTGAATTATCTTATATCTTGTTGGTGTGACTTTCTTGCATGCTCCTTTTGTATTACTTTTGCTTGTTTTGGAACTTTTATTTTATTTTATAAATTCATTCCTTTCCCTCTAAAATTCACCCGTTTGTTATTGTTTGTCATATTGTGACTTTCCCGTAGCTTATTATCATATTCATTTTCCTTTAAAATTCACCTCTAATTTAACTATTATGTTACGTTATTTTTGTGTATGTATGTTTTTTGTTTAGCTTTCATACTGTCTTTGTTTATAATCGTTCTTGTCATGCGTGGGGCGCTGTGGTCCAATGGTTACGGTGTTCGACTCGTGTGCCGTGGTACACAGGTTCGAATCCTGACCGTGGGAACATGGTGCTTGTGCTCTTGAGCAAGGCACTTTACCATTATTGCTTCGTCCTTCGGATGGGACGTAAAGCCGTAGGTCCCGTGTGTTGTATAATGCACGTTAAAGAACCCAGTAACACTTGTCGCTAAGAGGAGGGGTTTGCCCCGGTGTTTCTGGCAGTGGCAGCAATTATGCGCCGCAGCACCTAGCAAAAAGGTGCTTCATAATGGGTCTCATATGTTCATTTACTTCATTTACCTGGCTTTCTTCGCTTTGTATCCTCTGGCAAAAAGCGCTATATAAATACAGTTATTATTATTATTATTATTATTATTATTGTCATCCTGTATCTTCTTTGTTGTTCATGTTCAGGGGACTCGCACTCGACAAGCTTTGCTTTTTGTGGGTCCCCTGCATCTCTAGGTGGTGTTATTCAAATGTTATTATTCTTATCTTTATATTCTAACAAATGCATAAATCATAATAAATTCTAAGTACAAACTGTATTCTTTTATGCCTTGAGATGAAATAAAGTAAAGTAAATAATGATGTACAATGCCATGTCAACAAGTAAGTA